AAAGTTGCCCTGACTGTGTTTTGTTTTGCATGGCTAAACCTACCACAAGCCCAGATATCCACAGCAGAACCATAATATTCTTTTTTTAAAACTTCAGGTGAAAGATATCCTGGGGTACCTGCAAATCCTGCAAATATTAAAAAGAAAATACATCATTCATGTATAAGATCACCCTAGTGTTCTTACTGGACTCTTTTCAGACTTTTTAACCGTCAGATCTCATGAATATATTTCACGAAATTCAGTGGTGTCAAGTAATGAAGTAAATGTACTTCGTTACTGTACTTGAGTATTATTTTCGAGAAGTGAGCATGTAACAAAGTAAACTTTTTCTGGAGTACTTTGACTTGGAACGAAGTCATTTTAAGAAGTAACTTTTTACTTCGTTATTTTCATTTTGTGGCGAAGTATTTCGTTACTTTCTAACTTTTGTTTAATGTTACGTGATTTATTTCTGATTTATTTCAATTTTGGGATAGGTAATACGACCTCTACATGCATATAGGATCTCTCGGATCTATAGGATCTATTGCTATAGACAATAATACTTTTACTTGTACTTCAAGTATTTTTTAAGGATACTTTGTACTTTTCACTTAAGTACGTTTTGCCTTCAGTACTTTTTACTCTTACTCAAGTCGTTTTATTGTTAATTACTTCTACTTTTACTCGAGTACAAATTCAAAGTAATTTAGGCACCACTGATGAAATTCTGACACAAGTTAGTCACAGTAAATCCCAAGACATACTGTACTATTTACAAAAGAGTATTTGTTTCAATGGTGCTAAACTTTGGAGTACCTAATAAATAGAATCCATACTGAATGCACATATTTACTGTGTACTTTTTAAAATTTCATTTGAAATTTAACACTTATACCCCTCCCCAGACATCAACTATATTTTAAGCCGGGGTTAGCATGTTTAACCCTTTAAATAGCTGAATGCGCCCTGATGTGACCTACTTTATTATTTTACTCTGTCTAACAGAGGTAATTTTACTCATCAAGGAGAAAGTGCTGCCACTTAATGGGTTAAATAAAGACATATATTTACTTACATATGCTGCTACAACCTGATTAGGACTGGAATTACTTAATACAATTTACAAGTTATGAACTGACAGTGTGTTTCTGGGCCACAGGTCTGGTATTGAACGGCAGGCACTGGCTGTCGACGAAAGGCCATTGAAAATTCTGTGTCTGGTGCCATTAACTATAGACTTGTTTATCTGTCCACATAAAGTTCTAAAACAATAAAACTTAAATCACTTACCATACCATCCGGGTTTATTATTCTCTACTTCAATTGCAAGACCAAAGTCCGCCAACTTAACGACAGCGTTCTTTTTCTTTGATTCCAGAAGTAAATTCTCTGGCTAAAATGATATATTACAGCATGATATATTAGTTCAAATTTACTATTTATTTATTTATTTATTATATTTAAGCCAAAAGGGTGAGGGTTTCCAAAATTCTTTAATTCCCTGCCAGATGAAATCATATCTGGGTCTTCTGTGGGAATTTTCAAGTCTGTATTTATTTAACTATTTCTTTGGCGGACAACAGATGTATCAATTTAATAACCCTTCTGATTGATAGTGAACGCTTTATAAAAAACAATTTAATGCTGTTGCCAATAACTCATTAATCTAGATTGAAGTTTGTTCGTTCACTGCAACTAGGTATATCAATGTTCCGCTCGCTACTCTGGTTTAAATAAATTATTACAAAGCCCAGATTAACCGACCATTGGAATGTTATTAATATTTAACACCTTCCAAACTTTCTTGAATTGAATCTCTAGTCTGTATTCATTTACAAGCATAGCGAACCAGAAGAGTGTTTAAAATTCAGTATAATATATATATCTAATCATATTTTACAACTGTAGCACAGAATTCAAAATGTAAACAAAGCGTTTGTTTACATTACAGACTTTACAACATCGTGTTATTCTTGCTTGTGTATGTTTATAAGTGCACTGTAGTTTTGAATGTGTTTTAGAAATGGATTCATCCAATTTTACTTGTTGACAGGTCTGTTAATCATAGACACATGGCCAGATAGACTAATTAAGCACTTTTGAGCATGATGAGTAAAATTGTCTGGTATTAGACAAAGTTAAATAATAAAGTAGGGTGGATCAGGGTGCAATGCAACTTCATAGGTTAATTATGGACGTACCTTCAGATCTCTATGTACAACTCCAATATTATGACAATGTTGAACACTTTCTAATATTTGCTGAATACAATGACTGCAATAAAAAAAGTTGTACAGTATGTAAAAATCAGACTTATGATCATAACACTTTTATTGTTCTTTGCATACAAGGAACCGGTACAGTCTTCGAAATTTTTTGCGTACATACATGTACTAAATGGATGGTCCCAGGTGCGAAGGTTTTTGTATTTTGACTGTAAATTGAGACTGTTATTTGACTGTTACACTGTTACACAAAACAGGTAATCAAATGATAATTTGGTATCTGTATGCAATTAATACCGAGTTCAACTAACCTGGCATCTGCTTCACTATAATATTCCCTAGCTACGATATCTTCAAACAACTCTCCTCCAGTAACTCTAAAAATCAAATAAAAATACACTACTGTAAATAATTTGTTTGCAAGCATTTTTTGAAGGGGTTATACATGGGAGGGCTTATATATGGGGGGGGGGCTTATATACGGACGACATTTGATGTTAGTAATAGTATTTATTGCACCTGTAAACTACTGTATACTGTGAACAAAAAGAAATACAAACATACAGTATGTAAAGTCTATACATAAAACAAGTTGGTTAATTAATTAACATATACTGTAATGAAACTACCGTCACTCATCTGAGCTGTTGGAATCCCTGTCGTTGCGTTAATAAATACCTGTCCAATAACACACCCATGGGCTTATACACAGAGGGACGTATTGTATTTGGCAGGGGGTTAATTAATATTCAGAATAGCCTACGAGTTAATTGATATATACATGGGTGGGCTTATAGTATAACCAGATTCTATTTTTGTGGAGGAAGCCATTGATTTCTATATTGTAATGCTTGATCAACAAGGAATGGCTGATCTCCTAAGCCTTTGGAAGAACAATTTTGACCAAAACACTTATAGTAGCCTATCCCATAAGGATAAAACTCGAATAATCTGTGCCGGGTACAGGCAATGCTAATAATAACAAAACTTTCATTGGTAGAGATGAAAATACTTGAACAATAACACAAGTAAAACTTCAACGTTTCAAGCAATGGCTCTTTGTTGCGAAGTTACAGTTAAGAAGTCACTAACTGCCCCGCCAAGGGCCTTCGTTTGATGTTACTTGTATTTGATAGCAACTTTCTACTTTAGTATAATGATACTTACAAATCAAATACTAGATAATGGACATTTTCCTCAGCAATACTCGCATGAAGTTGAACTAAAATAAATTACAAAATTTCTATATGTTTATCAATTGTTAAGAAGTATTCCAGTTGCGCTGTGAATGCATTTATTTGACAAAAGCGTTCCTTGGAAATATAATAGGGGTGGGCGTTTGTTTGTCACGGAACTAGATCACAGACATAATGCTGTTTGCAGTAGCATAAAATTGCTTAATGGTTTGACACAACAGATATGACTTCACATTATACTGAAAATGCTTTCAACAAATTCAATGTTGCCACTATTTGTAACCAACAGTAATTCTTTGAGCTACGCAGATCCAACTATGTTTCTAAATTTGGAATATATTGGACGTGGAACTTGCAAAGCCAACTATGCAAGTTGTTTGCTAAAGTACCGAAGAACTAAACAATGGCCAACATATTTGGCAAATTATTTATTAAAGCTTTTAAGAGACATATTGTTCCATTTGTTTGCTATATTAGTATAAACACTGCAAAATTACGAGTTGATGTTCAGTACTTTAGTAAGCAAGTTGCAAAGTTGGCTTTGCGATTTCCAATATTCCAAATTTAGCAACATAATTAGGAATACTTACGACAAAATTGGGAACTGCACTTTGGAAAGTGACCTTGATATCAAGAAGAATGGAAGCCACAAAAAGCTAGTTTATTCATTATGAGATCTAATGGCTCTCGTATTTGCAATCCAATAATTCACATCATTCACACATGATTTATTAACTAAGCCATTAACTCCCCACACAGGAAACCACAAATAACAGACAAATTGTGCTCAGGGGAGAAATTAACACTCAGAAGCGTCAAATAATGGTTTCAACCACTTTAAAATCATGCAAAAGAAGGGTAAACTGGCTGGAATATTGCTTGGACGTTTCAAATGTCCTAAAATTCTAATCTGCTACACTTTTGCAACATATAAAACGTTCTAGAACGTGTAATTGCTACATATTTCCGACGTTTTGCAATTTTCTAACACATTTGCAACATTTAGGACGTTCTATAATTTGTAATTGCTACAATTTTGAATACTTGCAACATATGCTACTATTCTAGAATATAATTGCTACAATTTTGAATATCTGCAACATATTGTACTACTATTCTAGAACATGTAATTGCTACAATTTTGAATATCTGCAACATATTCTACTATTCTAGAACATGTATTAAATTGCAACAATATCGAATACCTGCAACATATTCTGCTATTCTGGAAAATGTAATTGCTACAATTTCGAATATCTGCAACATATTCTGCTATTCTAGAACATGTGATTGCTACAATTTTGAATATCTGCAACATATTCTACTATTCTAGAACATGTAATTGCTACAATTTCGAATATCTGCAACATATTCTACTATTCTAGAACATGTATTAGATTGCTACAATATCGAATATCTGCAACATATTCTACTATTCTAGAACATGTATTAAATTGCAACAATATCGAATATCTGCAACATATTCTACTATTCTAGAACATGTATTATTGCTACAATATCGAATATCTGCAACATATTCTGCTATTCTAGAACATGTATTAAATTGCTACAATATCGAATATCTGCAACATATTCTACTATTCTAGAAAATGTAATTGCTACAATTTCGAATATCTTCAACATATTCTAGAACATGTATAAATTGCTACAATTTCACGCGCCAATATTAGCAGAGGGTATTATCATTGAATACATATTTATAAGAAAGCAGCCAAATAAAATATAAAACTAATGGCAAATACCAATATTAGAATGCTTTAAGCGTCTGCATATCCGAGCCTCTCTTTCAAGCTTTTGCAAATCTAGATTATAGTAAAAAAAAGTATCTTGATATATTAAATATACTTTGGTTTATAAAACGCGTACATGTAATAGACTGTGTTTACACAAGGCGAGATTTCGTTTTGTTTGCATCAAAATGCTGCCTCTCTAAGCCCTCTACATTTTGCTGTTTACAAGTTTATATTCCGATCGGTTCGAAATTACCAGAACCGACAATTTATGAATATAAACAAAAAGTATTCTCGGCATGATCTAAATTTTGAAACAATGTTGATATAATATGCAACTACGGAGATTACAAAGTTGATTTTGTGGCTTGTACTTTCGACAAATGTTAAAGCTATAAAACCCGTTCGATTTTTGCTTCGAGTGACCCAACTTTTGAATTCATATGACAGCTGCATTTTGTACAAATGGCGTCAAAATGCCAAATTGCATATATGCTAAATTTCTGGATCACAAGGTCAAATAAAAATAATATACAAGAATCATAAGGTGCCCACTCGAAATAAAATGAAAAGTATATACATGTATATAAGAGCTTTTCTGGAAACCCGAAGATGACAGCTATCCTGTTGGCTTTTTATAACACCGAAATTCAAAGCGTTTCCTGCTTTTAATAATAATTCGGCAAAATGTTGACATCTCCTTACCAAAATGGCTAAACACCGGCTAAAAAACATATTAAAGATTACAAATCACATATGCCTGGAGGCTTGTAAATTCTAAGTGCTTTTAAGCGAGTATGCATTTATACAAAATGACATAAACTTTCTGTATATTCATCAATATTATCAAGTTTATATGGGTTCGTATGTATCGTATTTGAATGCATATATACGAATGGTTTTATTGCCCCAAACATACCTCTAGAAGAAAGCTTTCTTGTGTTGATAATCTTGGCCGCATATTCGACTTTCGTCTCCTTATGAACACATCGTCTCACGACGCTAAAAGCCCCTCTACAAAGAGTCGAATATAAATTGATCTCTTGCCGACTTTATACTATCTCACGCCGCTCAAATCCCCTACGGAAGATTAAGTATTAATTCTTTTCTATCTAAAGCATCGTATACTCACTTTCCGAGCTCCTCTTTGAGGTCAAAAGCTTCGTGAAAATTGTTCGTTTGTAAATTCGAAGCCATTTTTAAACGCTATATTTGTGTTCTTGCAATGAACTCGGTCACGTGACTAACACACCTGTTACACCCTTTCTGCCTGTTTAATCATCGGGCGGATCAATATTGCGGGCTATTGAATTAACACACTCGCAACAAAACAAGTTGTTCCAACAAGTCTGATATCGTCTGCACGTAACAAGTTAATGATGACAACAAGCTCGTAGCAACTTCTTACGAACAGCCTGTATTAGTCTTGTTGGAACAACTTGTAGTTATAGTAAGTCTGTTACCGTCATCAACCTTGTAGCAACTAACAACTCGGTGATACAACAGTATCATGACTGTATCGGACTTGTTGGAACAACCTTGCAACAAGTCTGATAATATCAACAAGGTTGTTACAAGTTGTTCCAAACTTGTTGACAACTTGGGACAAGCAGTGCGAACACGACATGTTGACGGCTTGTTGGCAGACTTGCTATGTGATTCAACGCGAGTTTCAATCCCGACGTAGAACGAGATACAAGCATATTTAAGAAAACATAATACAGCCACCTGCTAACTTAAATAATCCCCAGTCTTAAGTGTCCATTCTTATGCAATACAGTAGATAAAACATAAATAAAGAATTTTAATTTAAGGATCATTCTATTTCTAGATTACTGTTCGTTCTGGTTCATTTAGTATTTTAACATGGCAAAGACTACAAAATAAAGTGAAGAAGGCGCTGGCTACGTATTGTAAGTAGAATGAACTAAATATTTATACGAACAACTATATAAAGGCCATGTCGTTATATTGATAGTCTGTCAAGATATATGATTGTCTGGAAGCCCGACAAACTTCAAAGCTACAAAATAGAAGAGCTTTGTTTGATGTTGAACTGTACTTCACCGTGCACAAATCCTTTGTCTCAACTTCATTGATTATTCATCGTGTCTGCACCTTTCATCTCAGCTATGCATGCCTATTAAACGATCACTTCAGTATACGATTAACATAAAATTCTGACAAAAACATAACATAATGATGAACCAGGCGGGAATCGTAATCGTAGTATAAAGATTAATGCCCAGCATAACGTACGCAAAAGAGCCATATAGACAATAATAAAGACATAAAATTGATTTAAGAAGTACTAACGTTTCGTCTTTAACCTAAGACATCTTCAGAGTAAATGAATACAGTATGACAACTCATTGTCATACTGTATTCACTGTATGTAACTCATTGTCATACTGTATTCACTGTATGTAACTCATTGTCATACTATATTCACTGTATGTAACTCATTGTCATACTATATTCACTGTATGTAACTCATTGTCATACTATATTCACTGTATGTAACTCATTGTCATACTATATTCACTGTATGTAACTCATTGTCATACTATATTCACTGTATGTAACTCATTGTCATACTATATTCACTGTATGTAACTCATTGTCATACTATATTCACTGTATGTAACTCATTGTCATACTATATTCATTTACTCTGAAGATGTCTTAGGTTAAAGACGAAACGTTAGTACTTCTTAAATAAATTTTATCATATCTTGATAGATAATGCCTATGATTTCACGACAGAATTTTTGCTGCAATTTTTTAATAATTTTTTGAGATGTTATCTAAAAAGTCGTAGGAAAATTATGAGCATGGTTCATGGTTGACGCATCCATTTTGTTTCATTTTTAATCGCTTAATTAAGAGTATGTTATGTAAAGGTGTAAATAAAGTTACTTTAGTTTAGGTTTCCTCCTGTAGTAACACTGGATCAATAAGAGATGATCCTTACTGGACCTCTAGGAAGAACAGTTTAGAACTGATAGAGCTATCCAGTATAAATAAAGTTAATTTAGTTTAGGTTTCCTCCTGTAGAAACACTGGATCAATAAGAGATGATCCTTACTGGACTCCTAGGAAGAACAGTTTAGAACTGATAGAGCTATCCAGTATAAATAAAGTTACTTTAGTTTAGGTTTCCTCCTGTAGTAACACTGGATCAATAAGAGATGATTCTTACTGGACCTCTAGGAAGAACAGTTTAGAACTGATAGAGCTATTCAGTGTAAATAAAGTTACTTTAGTTTAGGTTTCCTCCTGTAGTAACACTGGATCAATAAGAGATGATCCTTACTGGACCTCTAGGAAGAACAGTTTAGAACTGATAGAGCTATCCAGTATAAATAAAGTTACTTTAGTTTAGGTTTCCTCCTGTAGAAACACTGGATCAATAAGAGATGATCCTTACTGGACTCCTAGGAAGAACAGTTTAGAACTGATAGAGCTATCCAGCATAAATAAAGTTAGTTTAGTTTAGGTTTCCTCCTGTAGAAACACTGGATCAATAAGGATTGACCCTTACTGGACCCCTAGGAAGAACAGTTTAGACCTGATAGAGCTATCCAGCATAAAGTTACTTTAGTTTAGGTTTCCTCCTGTAGAAACACTGGATCAATAAGGATTGACCCTTACTGGACCCCTAGGAAGAACAGTTTAGAACTGATAGAGCTAGCCAGTATAAATAAAGTTAGTTTAGTTTAGGTTTCCTCCTGTAGTAACACTGGATCAACAAGAGATGATGCTTACTGGACTCTAGGAAGAACAGTTTAGAACTGATAGAGCCATCCAGTGGAAATAAAGTTGATTTAGTCTAGCTTCCTGCGTGGTTTCTAATCAATAACTTCTTAATACTCACTCTGCTTCAGCTCTCTCAATGTCTTCCATCACGTACTATTGGTCACAGCTGGCATCTGATCTACAGCACTTATCAACATGGTATAAGTTTGAAGACGCTCTATCGCACATTAGCTGCTTATGACACACCAGCATTACTGGTCATCCTTGATGACTCTCGCCAGGTGAGACATTGTATAAATACAGTCATTCCCTTGTAAAGACAAACTAGAGGTACCTCCAGTTGCCACGGTTTCCTCCTGGATCAACTGGAGCTCTAGGGAGAACAGTTTAGAACTGATAGAGCTATCCAGTATATAGTTAGTTCAGTTTAGGTTTCCTCCTATCCTTACTGGACCTCTAGAAAGAACATTTTAAAACTGATAGAGCTATCCAGTATAGATAAAGTTAGTTTAGGTTTTCTCCTATCCTTACTGGACCTCTAGGAAGAACATTTTAAACACTGTAATACTGGATCAATAAGAGATGATCCTTACTGGACCTCTAGGAAGAACAGTTTAGAATTGATAGAGCTATCCTACAGTATATGAATAAACTTCAGTTGTTACATCATTGCTCTATTTTCATCAGATTTTTGGAGCCTTTGCTTCCAGTCCGTTTGCTATGAGTGAACATTTCTATGGGACTGGAGAATGTCTTCTCTACAAATTTCACCCAAAGTTCAAGGTGAGCACAAACAGTCAAGTAAAAAAGTAAAAGTTTCCTTCGGTGCTTGATGAGCTATAATCAATGTTGTGTTCCCTTTCTACTTCAGGTGTTTCGCTGGAGTGGTAAAAACAATTTCTTCATTAAAGGGGATAAAGATTCATTGGCTCTTGGTGGCGGGCAGTAAGTTGTCGATTTTCGTTTTGTTTTATAACTATCGTTTACGAAAATGCTTCTCTTTGTCGAGCCCTTTGTAACCTTTTCTAATCTATACTGTGACCTTACAACACTGCCATAACTTCCATAAGCATCTGTATTTTATTCAACAGAGGTAATTTTGGTCTGTGGTTGGATGAAGATTTGTACCATGGCAGCAGTCATCGATGTACGACATTCAATAACGAACCTTTAACTGTCAAAGAAGATTTCTTATGTAGTGGTGTGGAGATCTGGTGCTTTGAGTAAATATGTTTCAAGTGGAAATCCACTTATATGTCTATCACGGATTGAATCACATATAGAAATGTGCTTTGTATGCTTTAGAAAATGGTTGGCATAAATGCCCTTAAACATAGAAATTGGAAGACTCAAAATATATTAAAATTAGGAAAACCAGATAAAATTTATGAAATTTACTGTAAATTGTGTCATTGTGATTAGTAGTATGTAATTGGAAACCTTTTTCGTTTTGATGTGGATGCACTGAATTTTTTGTAGATACACTTTGGTGCTGAAATGCTTTAGGAGATGTTTAACAACAGAATTATGTAATGAAATTGTAATTACTGTGTTTGATTAAAGTCTATATGTTGTGTGTTTTTGAGTTAAATTTTTCTCAGCCTTTTTATGAATTGTTTAATAAACGAGTTGGAGTGCTTTATCAGATATAAAATCACGAGACGACAGCCGAGTGTCTTATATCTGATAAAGTACAGACTGCGAGGGTTTTAAATGGCTTAAAAAACGACCTATCTGATGAGTTCATTGGTGAAGTAATTTTAAAAATCAACGTTGTCTAAACCGAGAAAATCAAAGCTAAAGTTTATGTAAATGAGCATAATTTTTTTATCACATGTAAAACCATGTTAAGTTACAGTGAATGAGTTTTTAATTTAATATAATAATGTAAGTTGATGGCGTTATTTCCCAATCGGCATTTAATCATTAACTATAAGGCCAATGAAAATTGATATCATGTTTCTCGTCCACAATTTTCAAAAATTTGGAGCGGGATTTTTTCATTTTTCATTATTTTTTGTATTTGAATTCTGCTTGTCAATAATTTCCTTGACCCAGTAAAAAACCCCATAAAAATCTGAAGTATTAAAAATTGGTGTATATTTTAAAAATTCATTTTAATTTAATACGTCCTACACTACAGTCTACAGTACAGTATATTTCTTTACATACCAGGGCTGACATGAAAAATAGAGGCATTCTGGCGAGTAATATCTTTAGAAAGATACAATTCGAGTTGCGCTTGCGGAATGCAGCAATAAGACTTTGATCTGGAGATGAATTTGGAGTTTTTTAAGCCTATTTTTCAAAAATAATGAATAATGAAAAATTTTCGTGCGGCAGATAAATCCCATGCGGGCGGGGACGAGAAACATGATATCAATTTTCATTGGCCTAATATAACATATATTATTTTATATACACAAGTTTCTAAGTTTAACCACAGACATTCGCGATGAATTGAAAACTAAGCATGCAAATAATTTCGTGTTACGTTATTGTGCTATCATCATCACTTATGTTCCCAGAGTTTCTGTTCCATGCTCGACCTTTAATACTGCCCGAGGCTTGGGATCTAGCACTTCGCCGCTTCATCACGTCTGCATTGTCGCTCTGAAAATAAATATATAAACATTAAATGAAATTAACTTTTATATACTGGATAGTTCTATCAGTTCTAAACTGTTCTTCCACTAAACTGATATTCCTGAAGGGCCTTCTCTTACCTAGCTTGCATTATATCCGTATTATCTCACCTCATCAGATCCGTTATCATCTAAACGCCAGCCGCTATTTCTGGCAGTATTCGCAAAGTCGAAATCACTGCGGCGACTTTGCGATGACCGCTGTGTTTGAACTGGACTATCATCATCCGTATTATCACTGCAAAAACCACAGAAACAAATTTAGACAAAACTTATTTCTGTTTACATGTAACAGCATAGCAAATTCAGAGATGCCAAGGATAGTGCAAAGTCGATAAGACAAATGATAAGTATTGCTGTAAGCAATAGCCTGATTGCAACAATTTGAACACAAAAAATAACAAGAAAAAATTAAATTAAAAGTACCTGGACTTGAATACAGGTTTCGATTCTTTTCGGGGGAAACCATCAAAACTTTTATCAAACGACACTGTGTTGTTCCGTGGAGTTGTTTCATCTAATAAAAAAAGAACATACTAGGAATAAGGTGTCTGAACTTCCTGGAAAAGATTTAAAATATTTTCTAGAGAAATGTCTTGTATCGTTAAACCGTACGTACGTTCACTGTCGCTCGTAGACCAGGCATTCTTTTCTCTAAAGCCCTACAATAATAAGATAAAAAGACGTCAGTTTCACGAATTGTCCCAGTTTTACACTACACAACATTTGCCTTAAACTGTCGCATGCAACCTACTTACAACTTGAGTTGTACTGTGTAAATCTAGCACACAACTCATCTACAACAACGTAGTTGAGTTGTGTGCTTGATTTACTCAGTACAACTCAAGTTGTAAGCAGGTTGCATGCGACAGTTTTACTATAGGCAACTCTTGTATGGTGTAAATCGACCATAACGCGTAGTGAAACCATCTTTATGTGTATATTAAATACTTACCATATTCTCACTCGCCTCTGATGCAGTATCGATGTTATCGAAATCTATATATAATAAAAAGTTTATATAAGTTTAATATCAAAGTGGGTAATGAGAACTATGCAAGATGGATACATCTTTACTTTGTTTCTAATAAAATGTATACTTTACCTTGGTTCTTGTTGGTAATATCGTCGAACAGTCTGGAATTGAAATCACTACTTGTTGCTAAATGGTGAAATAACATAAGAGTTTATATACAAATGTTGCCAATCTTTCATGCAACAATATTGATCTTATACCTTGAGACAAGTTGTCAATATCATCCTTATCACCAATTATTCTGGCGCATCTCGCACAGATCGTAACAGAAACATCCTTATTTCCATCACTTCTTGACTAAAGAAGAAAAACCGAACGTTTAACTATCTTTATACTGGATAGCTCTTCCTCTTAAATCATTCTTTCTAAGTAAGGGTCATCTCTTATTGATCCAGTGTTACTACAGGAGGAAACCTAAGCTAAACTAACTTTATTTATACTGCATAGCTCTATCAGTTCTAAACTGTTCTTCCTAGAGGTCCAGTAAGGATCATCTCTTATTGATCCAGTGTTACTACAGGAGGAAACCCAAACTAAACTAACTTTATTTATACTGGATAGCTCTATCAGTTCTAGGCTGTTCTTCCTAGAGGTCCACTAAGGATCATCTCTTACTGATCCAGTGTTACTATAGGAGGAAACCTAAACTAAACTAACTTTATTTATACTGGATAGCTCTATCAGTTATAAACTATTCTTTCTAAAGGTCCAGCAAGAGTCGCCTCTTACTGATCCAGTGTTACTACAGGAAGAAATCAGCAGAATCCGCGATGTTTGGTAGAATCAGGTGGCACACGCACTAACACACTGCACCACCATATAATAAAATATCAATAAATAATTCAACTTACTTTATTAAGTTTAGCTCCAGTGAGTGATTGTGAGGCTTTAACACCTTCGTATTGTAAATCTTCCATTCGTTCCAGTATTTCAGTTCCTCGTTCTTCAGGTGAGTGTTTCCCTGCACCCGTTCTCCGCTTTCCCGGGTCGCTGTCGTCCAACAACAGAGCCTAAAACACACAAACGCTGGGCTACAGTGTAGGTTGTAGAGAGCAGGGCTGCCGAGAGGGGGGAGCAGGGGGTCAAATTGCGCTGGGCCCTACCTTAAATAGGGCTCCAACTAAAATCGAGTACTAGGTTCTTTTTGGTCAGAGCATTTTTGAAATTGAAGGCCCCTTACCATTTTAAATGGCTTAAAAAAACGAACCATCTTATGAGTTCATTGGGGAAGTAATTTAAAAAAGTAATTTAAAAATTATTGTAAAATAGAACAACTGTAACGCACCTGTAATTCTTTACGATGTTTTTCAACAGCGCGTCTGCTTGTTTTGACAGGACGACTTCTGAACATAAAATAGAAAAGAACATCTCAGATTTGAGTCCCAATAGACACAAGAGTCCCAATGGATTACATTGTCCGCCACGATTTCAAGCTATTGTTTCGTCGGTGCTCTCAAGCAAATTCGGGAAGTATCTTTTCATTGCCTTCTTTATCTCACAAATCCCGTTGTTCTCCATGCTCTAATAGAGCATATTCTAATTGTATGAGATTACAATAATTGCCCAAAGTGGATATGAATTGAGCAATAAAACAATTGATATGCACTTTAATCAAGAATTAGTCAATTGGAATGCAGATTAAAAATTCTAAAACCATAACCATGTCGAAGGTGCTTAGTTGCCAGGGTTGCCAGATAAACGGTCCTTTGATCATGTCTTTGTTTCGAACAAAGAAAACAAAAGGTTATGATAATAATATTTGGCTTAGTTATTCAGCAATCTGGCAACCCTGCTAGTTGCAAGGAAGTGGCCTTTTTGCTCCTTCAAATTCGCATACAAACGGAATTTAGATGACAGAGAAACGGCACTAAATGCCAAGAAAAAGGGAGATAAAACTACAAGATATTATCCTTTCAAATGCCTCGTGGTTTCAGCAGTGAAATGGATTTACAATATTTAAACAACGCGATGAAATTCGTCCTTCCACAAGTCAGGTATGTCATGGCTGTGTAATACGTATTTAAACTAGCGCTGCCCACCGAACGGTGATTTTTTCAACCATTTTATAAAATGTTTAAAAAGCTATAAATAAACATTTAATCACAATTAAAAAGAAACTTTAACTTAATATAAACACCAAAGTTTAATGTGGTTTATACCAATCAATAAATCATTTTAGGAAGCTTGAGGGAACTGACTAAATTGGTGTTAAACAGTGAGTCAGTTTCCTCAAACATTTCTTACAAATCCTTCAAAACTTAGAATTTACCTTTGCAAAATTCCTACTGTGATCACAGAAACTTTGATAGTGTAAACCAGGCTAAAAATATGACCTGACAATAATTTTAAAAAGATCAGGACTTTGGCACGATCATGCTTACCCTGGGGTGATGGGAGTAACTGGATCTGGGGTTCCTGGGGTGGCTGATGATCTTGAACCCAACCGAAGTTCTCGGCTTAGTTCATCATTGTCACCAGGTTGAAATGACATTTTTTGTTCAGCTGGTGGCTGTTTCTCCTGAGCGTCCCAGCTTCGTGCTACAATGTTTAAACGGATAAAATGTGTTATATTCCTGAAGAGGTGGTGTCCTGAGGCCGGTTGTTCAAAGGTGGGTTAGCACTTAAACCCTGGATTAAAATTAAACCTGCTGTTTTAGTTTGTGTATTTCTGCACATCTGTTTATTTCAAAACTTCAGAGAAGTAAACTCCTACTTATCCAGAGAAGATCTCTGAAGAAATATTTCCAAATTTATAGACAAGCTGTCAAGAAGTTTGCTTTGAATTTTAAATTAACCTGGGGTTAAGCTAACCCAGCTTTGAACAACCAGCCCCTGAGGATGTGACTGCAGGGCTTCCAACTGATCATAATTTCACCTCAATCAATTGAAATTTTATTTGTCAAGGCCAGGGGAGAGCAATGATGCTCAATGGATTAAAAGTTAGTTTAGGTGCTTTATATAGACTTGAGTTGGTTATTAAGCCATTGAGCGCCAGGGCTCTCTCCTTGATGAGTAAAATCGTCTGCCATTAGACAGAGTAATATAATAAAGTAGGGTGCATTAGGGCACAATGCAACTTAATGGGTTAATTACCGCCTCGATATTTCTCCGCCTCGATATTTCTCTGTGATGCTCTCATTTGAGTTTCATCTCCATTTTGCATTTGAAATAATTCATCAAAGTCGTGTGTGGGAACACGAGTGTCATTGTTCCACTGCGGTTGAGATTGGGGTTCATCTCTAGGCTTATTTGAAGACCACGTTTTGTTTTTAGCAGTTTCAAAATCATTTCCTGTCCACGTTTTCAATGGACTCTCTTGTTTTCTAGTTTCCTTTTGTGCTACCCCGGCTGACCACGATGCAGCAAGTTGATTGGATCTCCTCTCATTACCTAATATGGACAACTAAACTTAAGGTAGGTCATTTCATAATTCTACTTTATACATATTGTATTATTTCACATACTGGGGTTGTTGATCAGTAGTTAAGGCATGTGTTTTTCATCTCTGTGACTTGTCAGGTTTGATTCCTGTAATATCCAGTTGTCTGATTATAATTTCACCTCAGTCACATTTCACAAACACCACACATTTTCCTCAGGTGATTTGGTTTCCTCTGGTAGTAATTAACACTAGATCAATAAGGGGCAATTCTTATTCAACCCATAGATTGAACAGTTCAGAACTGATAAACCTATCCAGTATAAAAAGGGATTTTTTTCACAAAAGCATTAATAACTGACCCTTCTTTTCTGACCGAGGTGAATTTCTGGATGATGGCCTGGGTGACAAATGACCATTCTAAAATAAATTAATCATAATTTGAAACATCTGCAAATGGTAAAACTGCTAATATTGACAAGCAGCGAATTTCTGTACAAACCACAAATCAATTCACACAAACTTACAAAACTATTATCTAGTTGTTTTGATTGTTTTTTATGAATTCCTTGTAAAACTTTGATTATATAACCAATAGGATCATCCGGTGTATCTTGAATAACTTGAGCCATTAGAGACTGTTGGATAGAATACAATTTTATACAAACATGTACAAAATCGAACATAGGGGGCTGTCAACAAATAGATTGTGTCCTGTGATGGCAGGTTTTATCTGTGATGGGGGTAGGGGGAATGTAAAGACTCTGCAATACATGCTTCTGGAAAGCACATCACCTTGGACTGGATATAGAACCTCGTTTTCGTGATTGAGATGTACACAAAAACGATGCTCAATAGCCAAAGTGGCATATCCTTTCTGGAAGGGTGTATCACACACTGATTAGACAGATTTAGATCGAGGACGCGGACGTTAAAGACGACCTGAAAATGGTGTGTTGGGTCCATGTATGGATATGCCGCACCATTATGACACCATTTTCACATTGTCTTTGACGTCTGTGATCTAAATCTGTCTATTGACTTTTCTGTGAGGAAAAGCTGTTTCTGGCTTGTGATTGGCTGTGCTAGGGAGAGGGGCATGCGGGCAGGGATTATGGAACAAGCTGTCACTGCAGAGGGAAATCTATTTGTCTGCCACCCCTAATAAAAAGTTTAAAGAATTTACAATTTTCAGAAATACTATCATTACTTTATATATATTCTGCGGAAATCTATATTATTTTAATAAATTTTGTCCAAACAGAATCATCGAACAGATCCTACGTTTTTGTGGAAGGCAAAAGTCTTATAAGCATTATGAAATCCCACCACAATCTATTGTATAATCTGAATTGGTCAGCCAGAAAAACGTATATATAAAAGCAACAAAGCTAGAAGCCCCATGGGGGCTATTTATGATTTTGAATATTTTAAAAATTACATTATACCTCAAACAAAGGGCCGATTTTGTGCTTTTTCAAATAATTCTGAACCCGAACAGCTGCCATATCGTATTATTTTAGCAATCGAGCAAATTTAAAGGTCCCAAAATTCAATTTGGAGTGACACTTTACTCGAGTAAATAAACTCGCTTCACAGCCGCCATATTACTATTTATGTGGAAACCATAGTAACGCTGACGACAGCACTTAAATATCACGTGGTTTTTAATTGTTGGTGTGTGAAACTTAAAAAATGGCGGGTAACAAATAACATACATTCACGCCAAAAATACTACTTTATTTAAGAAAGGAACTAAACTGCTGGAAAGGGCACATATAAATTATTACATTTACAAATTTTGAATAGATTTGGATAAATACAGAACGGATAGTAAGCATTTCAAAATTGTTAAAATCGGAATAAAATATTGCATGTTTTGAGGTTTGCGCGTGAGAAGTTTGTATAAATGTCATTCCTAAATTTAATAATCTCTAAATCTACTGCCGGAACACGTCTACGCCTGTCACCGAGCTTTGAGGCTCGAATTAGCTCAGAGTTAATTTCTTTTAATTAAAAAAACTGCCGTCAATGACAAGCGATTTCGCAAGCTAATACGCGTTTCACGTGACGATTAATGTCAATATTATTTCGGAGAATGTTTGGTCAAAACGCTTCCGAATTAACATAAATTGCAGTGTAATTGCAGTATCATATATCACTTTGAAGTGCTATTGTGCTAAAAATACGCACAGAGCCAGCGAACTAAGTGTTTTCGCTCTTTGGAAGAGAAAAATGTGAAGGATATTTTAAAAAAGGATCGGTTTTTAGGCTAAAGAAGTCTGGAATGGATTTGGGTTTTTTGAGGGTAGTTTTTCTCGTCCTTATTGGCATATCAGGATGTAATACTCTGACAACCGTAGTTAGTACGACAGGTGAGAATAGACTAGCAAATTAGCGAGTTTCACTGAGCTCTTTCGTCAGCAGATCGTCGTGGTCAGCCTGTAATTATGAGAATGAGAAAGTAATGTCCATTCTTGCATAATATGTGATACTCTTGTATTTGGTGGCAAATAAATAGAATTGAGAGATATAGTTTCATTTTCTTGCTCGTATAAATGTCAACATTTCTAGAGTTGGCCACCATCTGCTGCCCTGTGACGCTGACTGAAACGAACAAAGTTAGTCGCGATAAAAATTCCTCCGTCGGCTTAAAGCTACTTTAATTGCGCTTAATTTTAACATTATTGATTTTACAGATTAGCACCAAAACTAACAAATAGAGTTGACCTCTCTTAGTCAAATTGTGGATCATATTTCATTGAAAGTTCTCTCAAGCCTGGAAATTTAATGTGGGAAATATGTAGTATTCTACAATAAGCTGTCGTGGTTTGTGTCTGAACTACCTGAAAAAGATATCTCAAACGTGCGGTCCAGTTTAGGTAGTATTCTGCAATAAACTGCCGTGGTTTGTGCCTCAAATACCTGTAAAAATATTAAAGCTCTTCTTTATAAATAGATTTAATATTGCCGAGACTAGACGCGCGTACATGTCATAAAAAGATTACAGTCATTTCAATTATAACGTAGTGCGGTTGTTTCCTAAAGAGGGAAATAAAAAATATTTTGTCGTGATACGAATGGGTTTTTTTTGTCCACTATTTGCTTTATAGGATCCCTTTTCTTTCAGTTCCGCCAAACGTCCACCGACATAATTTTGGTAAAACTCCACAGGCGCTTGGAAAATCAACAAACATTAACAAAACAATTACTAGTATCGCTTAAAACACAAACATGGTTCCAAAGTTCAACGCAAGGTCATCACACAAGTGACACGACCTGAATGTCTCCTTGCTAGCTATATGAGACAAATCAGTTACTATATGGACTAAACTGACTTTATTTATACTGGATAGCTCTATCAGTTTTAAACTGTTCCCCCTAGAGGTCCAGTAAGGATCATCCCTTATTGATCCAGTGTTACTACAGGAGGAAAACTAAACTAAACCAACTTTATTTATACTGGATAGTTCTATGATTTCTATCAGTTCTAAACTGTTCTCCGTAGAGGTCCAGTAAAGGATCGTCTCTTATTTATCCAGTGTTACTACAGGAGGAAACCTAAAATAAACTAACTTTATTTATACTGGCTCGGATAGCTCGATCAGTTCTAAACTGTTCTTCCTAGAGATCCAGTAACGATGATCTCTTATTGATCCAGTGTTACTACAGGAGGAAAACTAAACTAGACTAACTTTATTTATACTGGATAGTTCCATCAGTTTTAAACTGTTCCTCCTAGAGGTCCAGTAAGGATCATCTCTTATTGATCCAGTGTTACTACAGGAGGAAAACTAAACTAGACTAACTTTATTTATACTGGATAGCTCCATCAGTTTTAAACTGTTCTTCCTAGAAGTCCAGTAAGTTTCATCATCCGCATTTCTAATTGCACATTGGTCCAATATTACTACAGGAGGAAACCAAACTTGGTAAAACCTAACCGGAAGCTATCTTCACACATGCGAACCCCGTTGTTGCGTTTAAATTCAATTTTTTCATAATCATCTTTTCCGTTTTCTAGCTATAAACAAGACAATCCTTGCTAGCAGCATAACACCATCACAAACACCAAAGATAACATCGACACCATCAAATGCAACCATAATATCCTCCCTTAGCATTTCAGCTCACAATGGTACAATTCATAACAGTTCCATCATGGTAACCAGTACTCTACATAAAGGACCACACCCTACCTCAACTCCCACAACACAGGTCAAACCCACCTCTACACCATCACCACCAAAACCAGGTTTCTGTGCGAAATACAACAGACAACCCTGCCAAGACGTTCTGAACCGATCGTGGACACAGTTCAACGAAACCGAAAGATATTTCGATTCCAAACTCGGCATAAATGGATCAGAAATGTTCCTTTCCTTAATGCTCCAAGAAAGTGACAGACAAATCACAAACGATCCAAGATGCAAATGGCTGATTGAGGTCGCCCTCTGCCAATATACTTTGTCACCTTGCATGCCAGACGATCGCCCCGTTTCGATCTGTCGCGAGGACTGTGAAAGCTTAACCCAAGAGTGCAAAGTTTCTCTGAACAGATTAATCGGTTCTGCTGACATACTTACGAATATAAAAAAATATGATTTTGCACATTTGGTGTTGCCTACAAACTGCTCGTATTATCCTTCAGGAAAGACTGGCAATCATTCGTGTGTTTATATTGGATTATTTGGTAAGTACACGTTCGCTACAGTAATGGTCATACCTTTTTCACCAGACGGAATGTTCAAGATTATATTTTCTTCACTATAACATTTTCTAGATCATTCAAAGACGAGTTCAAAAACAAGCCAAGAAATTTTATGGATTTCTATTGGAGCTGGCTCGGCATTCCTCCTTATCCTTCTTTTCATCATTATTCTAACATGCTGTAAAAAACAACGAAGAAAAAAGCTAGAAGAGGGGATAGAACTTGCAGAAGTAACGCTGCGACCAAAAAGCACAGTAGACTACGCTTCCACAATGAAAGCAAGACTCTCGCAAATGTTAGAAATGCGTTCGTCGTTGTCCTCCAAGATTGCAGAGATGTTCGACCCGAGCAAATTAAAGCAGTTCTCCTTGGATAATATTGAATATATATCTGATTTAGGCGAAGGACAATTTGGATTGGTTTTTAAAGGTAGATTATCTTACTTGCGGTTATGCTTAAGCTTGGGAAATTAAACCAGTGCAATCCAGAAGACAATCCTTCTATGACTATGATTAAATCTATGATTGAACATAAAAAACTTAGTCTGTAATATACAACGCAGTATTTATATATCTCATGGACATATTGTATCGTGTTAAACCCTGTACAGAGGAGCCGCCATCTTTTCCTTAACAAGTTTTATTTGACCTTGTTTCTATAAGTTTTACCTTTGTTGTTCATAATTTATTTCTTGTATCCATTTCTCAAGGATATATACAAAATATCAAATTAACCTTTTGTATATATCCTTGAAAAGTAAAAACAATTTAGGGCAAGTGTGTAGGGCAAGACAAGAAATGCTTCTATGGTTTTAGCAAACAAAAGGCAGCCTTGGCGTGAGACTAAATGATTATAATACTCTGTAAACAAGAGCAACAAAACTTGTCAAGAAAAACTTGTTGACCTTACACACGAGAAGGAAAACTTGTTAAGGAAAACTTGGTTGTCTGTACGGGACTTTAACCTGTAATGTTTGATACCGTTTTAGGTGCGGCTTCAGGCATTGATGATTGCGAAGAAGCCTCAGAACAAACGATCGTTGCTGTGAAAACATTAAAGAAAGATTCCAACGAATCCAGTCAAGACGAGTTTAACCAGGAAGTCGCCTTAATGTCGGTTCTTGATCATCCCAATATTGTCAAGCTGTTGGCCGTCGCGACCGAGGAAGAACCATACTGTATGATCTTTGAATTCATGGAATTTGGAGATTTGAATCAATTTCTTAGAAAGATTAAACCAATTGATGGATCTGAGGAAGTTCCTGGTAAGAAATACGGACCTTTAGGAACAACATGCAGATCTAATCCAGTATAAATAAAGTTAGTTTAGTTTAGGTTTCCTCCTGTAGTAACACTGGATCAATAAGAGATGATCCTTATTGGACCCTCTAGGAAGAACAGTTTAGAACTGATGGAGCTATCCAGTATAAATAAAGTTAGTTTAGTTTAGGTTTCCTCCTGTAGTAACACTGGATCAATAAGAGATAACTCTTACCGGTCCTCCGGAGAAAACGTTGCTGATATATCCAGTATATAGATGAAGTTAAATTTGACATCAGTTTGCTTATTATTTAGAACTGGAACTATGTTTAGAAGATTCTATCAGTATTTGTCAACAAGTGGCATCAGGCATGTCGTATCTCGCTTCCTTGCATTTTGTCCACCGTGATTTAGCCACAAGAAATTGTTTGGTTGGCACAGGACTTGTTGTTAAAATTGCAGACTTCGGATTAGCTAGAGATATCTATTCTTCGGACTATTACAAGGTACGAACTGATAGAGCTATCCATCGTATAAACAAAGTTTAGTTTAGGTTTCCTCCTGTAGTAACATTGAATCAATAAGAGATAATCCTTACTGAACTTCTACAAAGAACAGTTTAAAACTAATAGATCTATCCAGTATAAATAGAGTTTGTTTAGTTTAGGTTTCCTCCTGTAGTAACACTAGAACAATAAGAGATGATCCTTACTGGACCTCTAGGGAGGACAGTTTAGAACTGATAAAGCTATCCAGTATAAATAAAGTTAGTTTAGTTTAGGTTTCCTCCTGTAGTAACACTAGAACAATAAGAGATGATCCTTACTGGACCTCTAGGGAGGACAGTTTAGAACTGATAGAGCTATCTAGTATAAATAAAGATAGTTTAGTTTAGGTTTTCTCCTGTAGTAACACTGGATCAACAAGAGACGATCCTTACTGGACCTCTAGGGAGAACAGTTTAGAACTGATAGAACTATCCAGTATAAATAAAGATAGTTTAGGTAGATTGGTTCAGTTCAGTTTAGAAACAGTTTAAGACCCAGGAATATAAACGTCTAAAAACATTTTCTACAGGTTCGAGGCGACGCCATGCTGCCTGTGAGATGGATGCCACCAGAAGCAGTACTTCATGGCAAATTTACAGTGGAGTCTGATGTTTATTCTTATGGCATCTTGATTTGGGAAGTGTTCACGTACGCACTGCAGCCCTACTACGGTTATACTAACGAAGAAGTTATTGGTTTTGCTAAACAGGTAAGATATCATTGCCCCAACGTCGTCACGATGGGTTGTTTCTGTCACAGTCTTTAGTACATGTGTCTTCCATCCCTGCATGTGACCAAGGGTTTAATTCCTGCAATATGCAGAGTTGTCTGATTATAATTTCACCTCGGTCACATGCGAGAAGAGTGCTTCCAGTTTGACTCTACCAAACACCACAGGTTTTCTCCTAGTAATCTTGTTTCTTCCTGTAGTAATACTGAGTCACTACGGCGTGACCCTGGATCTCTAGGAAGAACAGTTTAGAACTGATAGATCTATCCAAGTATAAATAAAGTTAGTTTAGTTTAGGTTTCCTCCTGTAGTAACATTGGATCAATAAGAGATGACTCTTACTGGACCTCTAGGAAAAACAGTTTAGAACTGATAGAGCTATCCAAGTATAAATAAAATTAGTTTAGTTTAGGTTTCCTCCTGTAGTAACATTGGATCAATAAGAGATGACTCTTACTAATGGACCTCTAGGGAGAACAGTTTAGATAACTCTTACTGTGGACCTCTAGGGAGAATAGTTCAGAACTGATAGAGCTATCCAGTATAAATAGTGTTAGTTCAATTTAGTTTTAGCGATGTTATGCTCACCAATACCTTCTACCAATTAGGGTGTATTGCTGGGCCAACCAGATGACTGCCCGAATCATATTTATAATTTGATGCTGGATTGCTGGAATAGAACGTCCGAAAAACGACCTGATTTTACGATGATTATCAAACGACTTGTCAAGGATCCACCGGTGTCCGACTACTGCACGCCCAGGACTTTGTCAGTCACCGCTGAGGAGCCGGGTGAAAATGTTGCAATGACACTTGATGAACCAGTTGGAAAAATTCCAGTGCCAAAACCAGTCAAACCAGAAAGTATGTAGCGACGTTTCTTCCTATTTCGAGGGCCTTACAGAATTCCTGCAATACGCAGTTGTCTCTGTTATAATTTCACCTCAGTATTCACATGTGAAACCAGTTTAGAACTGATAGAGCTATCCAGCATAAATAAAGTTAGTTCACTTTAGGTTTCCTCCTGTAGTAACACTGGATCAATAAGAGATGATCCTTACTGGACCTCTAGGAAGAACAGTTTAGAACTGATAGAGCTATCCAGTATAAATAAAGTTAGTTTAGTTTAGGTTTCCTCCTGTAGTAACACTGGATCAATAAGAGATGATCCTTACGGGACCTCTAGGGAGAACTGTTTAGAACTGGTAGAGCTATCCAGTATAAATAAAGTTAGTTTAGTTTAGGTTTCCTCCTGTAGTAACACTGGATCAATAAGAGAAGAACCTTACCGGACCTCTAGGAAGAATAGTTTAGAACTGATGGAGCTATCCAGCATAAATAAAGTTAGTTCAGTTTAGGTTTCCTCCTGTAGTGACATTGGATCAATAAGAGAAGATTCTTACTGGACCTCTAGGAAGAACAGTTTAGAACATCAACTGATAGAGCTATCCAGTATAAATAAATTTAGGTTACCCCTGTAGTGATACTATATGACTCCCACATTTTTTAAAATCTTCAGATCATTATGTGTTACCTGGTGCTATCGTTAATTGTGGTTTTAAGTCAGATAACGGTGAATGCAGCAATGGAAAAGCCGAAACCTTACCAGTTGTTCATAATAAAAGTGAAAATGAAGGTGAGTGGTATTGTTTAAGTTTATGAATTATATAGCTTTCGGTAAGAGTTCAGGGCAGCAGATGGTAATCAACTTTTCCTGGGCGGCAAGAAAATGAAACTAAATCTCTCTCTTTTAAGCATAGAATGATGCCCTCTCCAAGGTGTTGATTTCATTTTTTCTATGTTTTTCAGTTCTCGCGGAGAGATATTCCAATATTACTGCCGTATGACAAAATTTTCACAAGAGACAACAGCGCAGTTTGCAAATATATGAATATGATCAAAATCAACATGATCAATATACTTCTAGTTTTAACTCAAGTAATTCCTTCACGCTCAAAGTTCATCTTTGACTTGAAAAAATTTAGGGATAAAGAGACCTTAATGATATTAACTTTTTTTTACAAACAGAGTTCAAAATTATCAAGTTCTTTGGTATACTAGATTTTTAGCAACTAAATTATTTAATGTAAAAATTCTTTTTCGAATGAAGAAGATGTTGAATTTAGAAATCATGAATATTTAAGAGAAAATATTAATTTGATTTTATGGCAACAATACTATTGATGATAACGTTTTGTTCCCAAAATGAATATAATATAACAAGGCAATTATCAGGAGATTATATCGGAATAATCGATGTATCGGGAAAATTGCAACATTTCTGTTACATTGATGTCACTTGTACAGCATGCATATATAGATGTTATTATCACTATGTTAAAATTTTATACACCTTTTTATCTTTTACACATCGTTCATAAAAAATGTCACAAGCTTAATTTTATTAAATTTATTTTATGAAACAATCGTATTTACATGTTTGACATGTTAAGATATAAAACACATGACAATTAGTTGGGTCTTAAATTTTGTTACATTCTTGCGACGGGCAGTTCGTCTTTGCGGAAGAGAGTGAATCTCGCCCATTCTAAAGTGTTAGTAGTAGTTGTTGTTAAAGTAAGTTCTTTAAAACTCATTCTGTATGGATATCTGTCTCTTTACTACATAAATGTGTCAGTGTCGTTTAAAAATTAGTACAGTTTTAATTTAGCTATTATTTTTTCGAGTCGTGCTGTTGATAAATGTTCTATATATCTTTCCTTTGAGTTGTAGCTAGTAGTGAGTTTCGCAACCAACAACGGCGACGGCAGAATACAAATGACTTCTATACTTTTGTATAATACAAATGACTTCTATACTTAATAGAATACATGGTTTGGAGACTCGATGAAAGTACAATATAACTCATTAACTATGTTGGTTTCGGTTTATGCAAGAATTTGGGCCTATCTCGTCACGTGTGTATTGTATTTTTTCCCGCACAACCAATAGCAATGTTTAAATTGAGCATTTGTTCAAGTTACGGATGGATAACTCAACCACAAACTTGTTGTTGGTTATTTGAGCGAAAATACAACACAGTCAACACACACGTGAAGGAGATATATAGGACCAAATTCTTGCATAAAGCTGGACAATAACATAGTTAATGAGTTATATTGTACTTTCATCGAGTCTCCAAACCATCTATTAAAATAAGTGTGATCCACTCGATCAAAAGAAGAGAATCGCACTAGAAATCGCATGGAAAATTGCAATTGCTGTTTTCGTGGTCATGCGCATTGAAATGATCGATAAATAACGTAGCTGTTGAACATCTACGGCGTATTAGAATGCTTAGAGTAATAAATATGCTATTGTTGATGGGTACGTTCTGTTGCCGCGTTGTATTTGCCAAACTCCCTATTAATTTCAAACGTACGTTTTGTTCATTCTGGTCAGTGGAGCGTCAGATCGACTACTTTCTGCTCGTCTCACTACAGCATCAGTTTCACGTTCCGTGTCCGATTCTAAACCAGAGTTGACGCTTCCTCGACTTCCAGTGCTCGAGCGTTCCTTCTCTACAGGCTCGTGTTCGAGTTTATTTGAGTCTTGTGCTCGAGATGTGATCAATGGGTCTTCGTGCGTGTCATTGCTAGCACTCGAATCTGCGTCATTTGCTAAAGGAAACAAAATGCATTGATGACAAAATAATGGTTTTTGGACACTCTCTGGTTTAAAATTTATTTCACAAGCTTTCACCCGACTGCAGTCTTCAACAAGTTAACAATGAGATAAATTACAACATTTACAATGACAGAGTGAATATTTCCGCCTACGTATTTGATTAATTGACGACCCTCGTAATAAGTAGATTTAATATATAATATAAATAGAAATTATTTAAAGTTTCTTCAATAAAAACTGATATTGTTCTGGAAAATGTTTAGAAATAATTATGGTTGAACTTAACCAAATTATACTAATTATCAATCAATAATTAGTAATTAGGTATCATTACTAATTAGATGATAATTAGTAATTAACAATTTAATAGGAAAATAAATATTACTTTATTACAATTACTTAGTAATTATTGGTTGCTTAATTGGATCGATTTATATTAGAAAGCTTAATATAAATACAAACGAACTATCCAGAGTAAGCTAGAATAGCGTGATTTATACTGGAAATGATTCTGGGAACAAATCATGTCTGATATTTTCCAGGCTGAACTAGACACGTTGCCGAAACTATTTGTGTCTGAACTACGTTAAAGATCATTCCTTACCATTGTCAGAAAATGGAACAAAGTTCTGGTATTCAGGCTGTGTATCTTCACGTGTTTTGGGCGTGCCGTTCGTCGTTATTTCCTCTCCATTCATAGCGTTGATGATCTTGTCGTAATAAGGTCGTAATTCAGGTTCCTTAGACCAACATTTCTTCATGATTGGATAGACAAAATTTGGACAAAAATCTGGCTTGGCGAGATGAATACCCTAGCAGGAGTAGAATGTGATTAAATTTCTTTCTTGATCGACCTTGAAGCCAACTTTATACTGGATAGCTCTATCAGTTCCGAATTATTTTCTCTAGAGGTCCAGTAAGAGTCATCCCTTATTGATCAGTATTACTACAGGAGGAAACCTAAACTAAACTAACTTTATTTATACTATAGATAGCTCTATCAGTACTAAACTGTTCTTCTTAGAGGTCCAGTAAGAGTCGTCTCTTATTGATCCAGTATTAGTACTGTAGGAAACCTAAACTAAACTAACTTTATTTACACTGGATAGCTCTATCAGTTCTAAACTGTTCTTCCTAGAGGTCCAGTAAGGATCATCTCTTATTGATCCAGTGTTACTACAGGAGAAAACCTAAACTAAACTAACTTTATTTATACTGGATAGCTCTATCAGTTCTAAACTGTTCTTCCTAGAGATCCAGTAAGGATCATCTCTTATTGATCCAGCGTTACTACAGGAGGAAACGTAAACTAAACTAACTTTATTTACACTGGATAACTCTATAAGTTCTAATCTATTCTCTCTTGAAGTCAAGTAAGATAATCTATATAGATGACCTGCGATGTTTGATAGAATTAAAACACTCTTCTCACATACGACTGATGAGAGATTATGATGACACAATCCTGCACTCGACAGGAATCAAACTTGAGTCACAGAAGTCAACTAATTTTAGCTGTTCCATCCATTTTTCTTTATATACTATTGAAAGCCATTTATATACCATTGAAAGCCACTATTACAATGGATGCATACAGTAACAATAGACTAAATGATTCGCGCTTACCTTAGCAATAAATTCGAGCACTTCCTTGTTAGTATAACCATAATATGGCTGCATACTGAAGGTAAACACTTCCCAGAGTAAGACACCATAAGAATAAATATCGGATTCAATTGTGAATTTACCATACAACACTGCTTCAGGTGAAAGCCAGCGAATAGGTAGAACTGTGTCTTTTTCAATCTACAACATGAGTGATGAGTAAATCAGTGATATAAATTCAGACACGTTCTATCATGCGCTGTTGGGTAAAGCTTTAAGGTCCTCATGCATATTGCATAACTCATATCAGTTAGTCAAATTAAATTAGTTCTAAAAAGTTCTCCCTTGAGGCCCAGTAAGGACCATGCATATCTTTTGGTCCAGTGTTACTACAGGAGGAAACTAAACTAACTTTATTTATACTGGATACTACAACACCTTAGCAAAAGACATAGGAAATATTGCTTACTTTATAATAATTATTAGAATAGATATCTCTAGACATCCCAAAGTCAGCAATCTTGATAGTGAGGTCGTCTCCGACCAAACAATTTCTCGTTGCAACGTCACGATGTATTAGTCTGTGACTGGCTAGATATTGTAGACCTCTGGCAACATCGATACACATGTGAATCAGCGTGGCTTGCGATAGGCTGTCTAGAAATGAAATCCAATCATTAGATGTTTAGTATGCTGATAATTTTTTCATTTACCTCAAATCCTCAATAATTAATTGATGGCCTCATTAGTCAGATTACGGATGATCCGTCTGGACAAACTTTGCCAAAGATAATTCGTTTGATGATTTGTGTGTGTAGAGACTGAATATACGCACGGTAAAAACGCACAAGTTGTAACAAACCTGCAGCAGACTTGTAGCAATGCTGTTCCAACAACTTGTCAACAGGATGTGTTCGTACTGCTTGTTCCCAGCTTGTTGACAACTTGTCAACGGCTTGTTAGCGACTTGCTACAAGGTTGTTGAGTTCAACAGACTTGTTACAAGTTGTTCCAACAACTTGTTGTCGTCCTGCAATTCAACAAGTTGTGAGTGACAACCTTGTAGCAACTTGATAAAATAACAGCATTGTTACAACTTGTTGACAAGCTTGCTACAAGCCTGTTGCGAACACAATTTGTTGACAAGTTGTGAGAGTATTATGTGTGTAGACTGACTTATACTTACTTTTGTTTTGGTCAATGTGTTCATCGTCATCTTCTTTCAATGGTTGAGACTTTCTTAAATATTCACTCAGATCTCCATTGCTCATAAACTCAAAGATCATACAGTATGGTTCTTCCGTGGCCGACACAGCTAACAGACACACGATATTTGGATGGTTGAGATAATTCATAAGACATGCCTCTTGATTAAATTCTTCTTTCGCTTCAGACGCGGAGCCTTTCTTTAACGTTTTAACCGCTACTATGGTCTCTGCTTCCGGCTCTTGCTCATTTAGACCCATTGCTCGACCTGAAGGAATAGCATGGTAACGTCACTAACTTTATATTAGATAACTCTGTCAGTGTTAAACTGTTCTCCTTAGAGGTTTAGTAAAGGTTATCTCTATTGATCCAGTGTTACTACAGGAAGAAATCTAAACTAAAATAACTTTATTTATACTGGATAGTTTCAGGGGCGGAGGCAAGGGGGGACGGTCGCCCCCCCAATCGCAAAAAAACTATTCTCTGAAAAAGGCTAAATCCGTAGAGAAATGGGGGGGGGGTACACGTTACATCCTCGAAGCTGAAACGGATTAAGTACGTCTCGACTGAAGAAAACGACGAAATACTGGAAGAACTTGATTTCTAAAATCTCGTTAAAACAGTTGTAAATATGGTTCCAAGAGGAAAATTCAATCAACAGTCGGGCAATTTTGGTATGCAATAAAAAAAAATGGAACAAATTCTGTTAATTTTGTCTAAAATTAAGTGAATTTTTAGGCAAATTTTGTGAATTTTCGAAAATTTGTGTTATGTTCCGAAAAATATTGGTTGTCCGGAAAATTTTTTTGACCCCTAAAATGGTACACTGACCGAAATTTTTTTGGCGACGGGGGGGGGAAGAGGTCGCCAAAATAATTTTTCCGGAAAAAATTTTTTCCTTCCGGTACGCCCATGGGTCTCGCGCCTTCGGCGTTCGCTTCGCCCCCCCAAAAATGAAGGTCTGGCTACGCCACTGGATAGTTTTATTACTAGTTCTAAACTGTTCTCCCTAGAGGTCCAGTATGGTAATCTTTAAGAAGAACAGTTTAGAACTGATAGAACTATCCAGAATAAATAAAGTTAGTTTAGTTTAGGTTTCCTCTTGTAGTAACACTGGATCAATAAGAGATGATCCTTACCGACCTCTAGAAAGAACAGTTTAGAACTGATAGAGCTATTCAGTATAAATAAAATTAATTTACTTAAATCAACTCCTACCTTGAAATACTTGTCCGAATTGTCCCTCTCCAAGATCTTTTTCATAAGCAACTCTATCAACTGGAAACTGTTTGATCATTTTCACATCATTAATTGGCATCTTTGATTTGAGCAAATCATCCGCCGTTAACATATTGATATGATCCTTCACGGACACTGCTGGGAAATTCCCAAGACCTCGCAAGTTCATTGAAGGCGTTCCAGGGTCCAGCTTTGCCTGGTCGTTTCTGTTCTTTCGCCGCCTGTATAGCAGGAAGGCCAAGAGGGAGGCGACAGCAAGGACGGTGATGATGACAACTACAGGAGCAATGATGGCTGCCTTGTCGTCTGAAGAGGTATCGTCGCCTGTAGGGTTGTTGATTGGAACTAGTGTGACATTTGAAGTATGGTCTGAAAGAATAGAAAATATTCCATATAGGCATTGCTATTCATATTACACACGTAAAAATGTAAACGTTGTAACAAACCTGCAGCAGACCTGTATAGCAATGCTATCCCAACAACATGACAACAGGATATGTTCGCACTACCTGTTTCCAGCTTGTTGACAACTTGCTACAAGGTTGTTGAACCCAACAAACTTGTTACAAGTTGTTCCAACAACAAGCCTGTTGCGAACACATCTTGTTGACAAGTTGTGAGATTTTTACGTGGGTATATAATAAAAGTTTCACTTACTAAACAGCCCAGTCAGGTAACATTTCTTTCCAACTTTAGCCAAATCTTCTTCATACTCCAGCTTTTGACAATCCGGCAATGAAACGTGACCAAAATTACTCTTCGAGATACTCAAACTAATGATAGCTGCGCCTATCAATTTTTGCAAAGACTTAGGACACTGTTTTTCGTACATATCGCAATCTCGTCTACATATTTGTATGAAGGAGCCATCTTCTAAACAAGGTGTTAAAATATATTGACATAACAATATTCGGACAGTATGCAGACACGATTCGCTCAGACCTTTCGCAGCTACAACCGTGATGAGACGTTGAAATTCTTCTAGTAAAGCATTCGTTCTGTTTAAGCCAAGGTTGTAATCGATGAATCGTGGAGTGTTTCGATATTCTGGTACGGAGATGTTGAGGTATTTGAAGCAGACCCCATCTTCTGGATACTTGATGCAAGTTCCATTGTATCGTTTTGCTCTAAAGGGGTGAAAGTTTTAAATTAAGAAATTAACTTTATTTATTATAGATAGCCGTAACATTTTAAACCGTTCTCCCCAGAGGTCCAGTATAGGTCTGAAGGAAACCTAAACTAAACTAACTTTATTTATACTGGATAGCTCTATAAGTTCTAAACTGTTCTTCCTAGAGGTTCAGTAAGAGTCGTCTCTTATTGATCCAGTGTTACTACAGGAGGAAACCTAAACTAAACTAACTTTATTTATACTGGATAGCTCTATCAGTTCTAAACTGTTCTTCCTAGAGGTCTAGTAAGGATCATCTCTTATTGATCCAGTGTTACTACAGGAGGAAACCTAAACTAAACTAACTTTATTTATACTGGATAGCTCTGTCAGTTCTAAACTATTCTTCCTAGAGGTCCAGTAAGGAACATCTCTTATTGATCCAGTGTTACTACAGGAGGAAACCTAAACTAAACTAACTTTATTTATACTGGATAGCTCTATCAGTTCTAAATTGTTCTTCCTAGAGGTCTAGTAAGAGTCGTCTCTTATTGATCCAGTGTTACTACTGGTGGAACTAAACTACACTAACTTTATTTATACTGGATAGTTCTATCAGTTTTAAAAGGGCAATTCTTATCGGCCCAGGAACCCTAAATGTCTTCTTCTAAGGAGGAAAGTCCGGAAACCTAAACTAAACTAAACTAACATTTATAACTGGATAAAATACCAACATTCCTCCAAACTCTCTAGAGTATAAGATTCAATCGTCCACCATAATCTTCTAACAGTACTTAAATTCGTAACGATAATATAGTGAATAAAGCCAGCACAGACCTGTAACAACTATAGTCGATGGTGTTATTAAATCTCGTCTCATTCCAACAACATCCTCTTGCTGTGCAAGAACTTTCAGATATCGTCTTATCGCCGCAGGGCAGGATTTCGTCAGCACTTAGAGATGAACATAAGTCACCTGAATTAAAAAAAAGTTGAATGGGGTTGGTTAATGTGTCTTTCACACTTTTCACCTTTGTGACTAGACTTTGATTCCTGCAACATCAAGAGTTGTCACAGTTCAGTTGTCTGATTATAATTTCACCTAAGTCACATGTGAGAAGAGTGCTTCCAGTTTGACTCTACCAAACACCGCAGGTTTCCTCCGGGTACTCAAGTTTCCTCTTGTGGTAAAAGTCCAACAATGCTGGATGAAGTCGACTTTTAAACAAAGGCAAACATAATCAAACATTAGCCAACATAACGTTCAAACGAGGCCATCAATGTTGCATGCAACAATGTCGAATGATATTGGACCAACATGTTGGCCTAATTAGATTAAGGGTTTTGAACTTGATAGTCGAGCTATATCCAGTATAAATCAAGATAGTTTAGGTTTCCTCTTGTGGTAACACTGGAGTGCTGGATCAATATAAAGGGATGACTCTTGATTATTAACAGAGATTCTTTTAAAAAACAACAATTACGGTTGACGGTTGCAAGTGATTTTTTAAGCTAAAAAATGTATGACAAAGTGTTTCATTTGAGAACCCAGCATTCCACATCTAAATTTCTTTCATTGTTTAGCAACCAACGTCATTTACAAAGAAAACATCCGGAACTTGGTCAACTCAACTGAGGTCTGAGGACTTTTATGACAAAAAAATACCAACAAGAACTAACATGGGGTTGTCCGGGGCTTAAATCTACTGACGACCGATTGTTTCAACTCATTTTTAATTCAGGAAGGCTCTTACGAAAAGCGGATATAAAAACTCGCGTTGCCTCCTTGTAATTGTCATGTGAATGTGGTTTAAATAATACTTCCTAATTTGGACAAGTAGCAAACATTTTGGAATTGCATCACGGTGCTTTTCACGAGTAACGGAGTGAGCACTATTGTGCGGCAGATGGTAGTCAAGCTGCCGTAAATAATGTTAATTTTTTTAATGTACTAGTCTTGTATAAGTTCTATTTGGCAGCCGACATAAAATTGAATTGACGGATATAGTTTAAGCTATACTAGTCTCAATACATTCCTGAACTTGACCGCAATCTTCTGCTTGGTCAACTGGACCAATACCATCATACGCTAGTTCAATACTCAAAGAAGCGCTGTGAACTTGGCCTCTACTTAAAGGAGACTAAAAGCATCGCGTACTTCCATTCATTTGTGATATGAGATTGTCTTTGTTATGTAACTTTTCTTTATAGATTTTTCGGGTATTTTGCAATTATGACGCCAGTCACATGTCAGTTTATATTAGCTTTTTACCCCTCACAGAGTCGTGAAGTGTTTCGAAATCTTTTTCGTTTAGTTCAGACAAACCACTGAGCTTATTGTAGAACGCTACCAAAGCTGAACCACGTACTAATCTATTAATAATAAACCCGAGTGAACCCGTTTGACTGACGTTTGAGATATCTTTTTCAGGTAGTTCAGACACAAACCACGGCAGCTTATTGTAGAATACTACCTGCACTGGACCACCACGTTTGAGATATCTTTTTCAGGTAGTTCAAACACAAACCACGACAGCTTATTGTAGAATATTACCTACATTGGACCTCCGCGCTTGAGACATAGTTTAGTTGGTATGGGTCATGGGCTAAATATAACCTTCATTCAGTTCATTGTGTGTTTTGCCATTGACTGTACAAACAAAGTATGGTGTTAAATGAACCGTTTAATGAAATACTTTAGCTGCATGTCGTGATTTGTGTCTGAACTTATACTTAAAAAAGATCAGAACCGAGTTTGAGCAAATCAAAGTCTAAACGACTGGGTGTTTCTCATTTTCCAGTAGTTCAGACGACGAACCAAAACAACTTTTGTTGTAGAACCTACACTAGACACCCACGTTTGAGATACCGCTCAATGAAATGAAATAAAATTAAATGACATTTTCGATTCTATAAAGCTATCCAGAATCCGGCCACGAACTCTATAATTTGTTACAAATGTAACAAATTACGCTGGTGTCGAATTCGCAGTTTCTGTGAATAATTGGAAACAACGTCTACATTATTAATGTACGGTGTTTGTGGTGACTTGGTGAATGTTCTAGCATAATAACAATGATCAATATCAATAATACAATACAAATTCGATACCGCAGGCAAAAAGAGACCTGAATTCTAATTCAATTTAGCCGCGAGGTTTTAGCCAACTCATAAACATGGACGAATTTCACACGTATGACGAACAGTTCAGCGCAGAGTGGGCAACTTTAAAACGAAAGACAGTTCTCAGAGTGATTACTGAATGTTTCAATGCATATATTTGCCACCAAACACAAGAATATATCAGCATTGAAACATTTAGTTGACCCCATGTATAGCGGTACCATAAAAAGCGCTTTCTGAAACCTCCACTTATATATTCAGTTAGTATTAAAATATGAAACTAGATTCACGGATTCGTAATTTAGGTTAAACGTCATCATAACTTTTGAAGTAACTGTATCCTTCTTTAAAATGTTACATACTCAAAGCTTAGTGACCTACCCGACGTAAATTGACCAACATGGATTACCAAAACCAAGCCAAAAATAACCAGATTATCAATTCGCATCATTTTTGATCCCGTGGACGGTAAATGTCTAAAATCCAAGCAAATAATCCAGTATTTTGGAAGGCGTACTCGAAAACTCTTTGAATCACTGAGGAGTCCAGTTAACTTAATCGAACGCACGCGAGGGTGTTCTTAATATGCATAAATTTATTGCCTGGCTGCACAAAGAGCTGTGCGATATTTCAGTTGCACGCGTGTGAAGGAAATAGGAAAAGGATTTGGAAACAGTTAATTGGGAAAACAATTTAACACCTTGTTGCAAGATGTATACACCTTTTTGTCAAAGAAAACAAAACAGAACAACTAAATGTTGATGGCAAGTTGCCATTAATTGTAACGTCACTAAAACTGACAGTCAATAAGTTGAGGTAAATTAGATTAATTAATTGTTAGCAATAATGCTTATATTAGTTTTTTTTCAGTTTAATTATACTGCAGGTAGTTTTATTAATTAAGCAACCAGTTGGTTGTGACAATGATAAAATAATATTGAGTCTCTTCATTATTGTTAATATTGAGTCTTGTATTTGGAGACAAATAAATGAAATTGAGAAACGAAGTTTAATTTTCTTACTCAACTAGTGTCAACATTTCTGACTACTTGACCATTTGCTGTCCTGAACGCTTTCTGAAACCCATATAAATTATTTTTGTCAATGTCTCAAGATTTATTTCAATAACATATATATAAAAGTCGGTTTGGGGAAATTTTTAGTGTAAGCTATGATACTATGATACTGGCTGTCGTAGTTTGTGTCTGAAATTTCTATAGCCTGAATATGAAAATGATTCAACGTTTGAAATGAAAGTACTTTGTCAGCAGGTTAGCGCGGAATAATTTAAAAAAACTTGACTAAGAACTTTGAAGACTGAAACTCTGAATTGTGTAATTCAGACACAAACTATGACAGCTAAATATAAGGTCAACGTTTTGGTAAGAAGGTCATTGACAGAATAATACGCTTATATACCATTTAACACCATAAATCTTCCATCTTACCTTTCACAGTGTAAGTTCAATGTAAAGCTTTTACTCCAAGAACTATCGTGCAGTATTTTACAATTTACATACAAAGTTTGATTGTTCGTGAGTCGAGTCAGTATTGATGTGTTTGATATTTGATCAGTGAGTAGTTCCGCAAATAGGAAACGCAGAACACAAGCTGAGCAGGCAATTTTCTGCCAACCCGGATATTTTTCTCTATTGACATGCACAAGAACGCGCGCAGACATGCGTCTCCGCACGAGTTAACATTAAAGACAACAACCTTGACATTGTTCACAGTTCTTTTACAAAAAAATATATTAAGGCTTGCTTATTTCACTGCGCTCTGTAAAGGGAATTAATTTGATTTTCCTAAGTTGGTATTTAATGCCCCGTGCGTGCGAACTAACGCGTGCGCACGCAGCACGCTCACAAGCAAATAAAATAATGTGCGACGAACGTATAACCTTGATTGCTCACCACCACCACCTGTTCAATTTGAAGTTATCAGAATGAGAAAATAGTGTTCATTCTTTTCATTATGTATCAGTTCTCACTGTTTCCCAAATTGGTCTGGAGTACATCCCATGCACCTGACAAGGCAAAAATAATTTTATCTCGCCTGGGGTGGAATCTGCATGCCCTTGAATGAATCTGCCCCTAAGTAAGTCTATAAATTTAATTGTTTTAAAACAACTATCGCTACTTTTGTGCCCTTGAGTCCCCCTTGATGCGAACTTGGGAACTATTTCTGCCGTGCACTTAGATTTTTAACCGTTTTCGCATCCAAGATCTCGTCAAAAAATGCCCAGCTCTGCGGTCTGGAAGTTTGCCACCATACGCTGTTTCGAAATCTGCCATTTCCCATCAGAATACTGACGACAACCGGAAAATCTAAACTCAACAATTAATTAAGAACGTTGTTTGTTATTCTGTTAAGTGAAAAACATGTGTGGTCCTACATTATGCTCAAAGTCGTTCTGTGCAACAATTTTTTTAGCAATGTATTTGAAAAAGTGTTTATTCAATTCCCTCTCTCTCTCAGAATTTCATAATAGCAAGACTACATATTAGTTGTCTTTTAAAAATACTACGAAAGCTTCGTCCTGAACTCCTGTGTGATTTCTGTCAAGCTTTAATAGTGGGCGTATAATCCTCTTTAGGAAACGCGAGTTAATCTCTTCACTTTGTAGTTAACGTGTGGAATAGGTGGGGAAGTTGCTTCAGTGTCAACTAACAAGGTGTGAAAAGGGCGGTGTAACATTGCACCTGGCCTACAAGGAACATTTCTGTGTATCCAGCAAGCGTTGTTACTTTATTCTTTAATATGGGCGGAGGAAATGCAGAAGAATCCTAAACTAACTTTATATATACGGAAGAGATTATTTCGCTGGCCTCAGAGTGACAAAACGTAACAAAGCAATGGTTTTACTAACACTAACCCTACTCCAAACACCAACTCTAACCCTAATCCTTACCCTAACCTAAGCCTATGCCAAATTTGTTTCTAAACCAATCTTGAAGAAAAACGTTTTGACGAAATGTCATTCTGGGGTCAGCGAAATAGTTGATGCCTATATATCAACTGGCTCTTTCAGTTATGATTAAGCTGTTTCTCTCTACATGTACCGTAAGTTGTTTTCTTAATCTTCCCGTGTTACTACAGAAGGAAACCATTTAAACCAGAGTATACCAGAAGCAAACCTGTACTGTTTGGGTTCAAACAGTGTCGTCTAAGAAAGTTTTGCATAGGGATACAACTACCTGAAAAATACAAGGAGAACTTCGACGTTCCGAGCGAAGGCCCTTCGTCTTCTCCTTGTATTTTTCAGGTAGTTAAATCCCTATCCGAAGCTTTCTCATTATTGCCACTACCTACACAGGTGACACTTGGCACAAACCGTCCGAGATTCTCAAACAATGTCTGGTAATTAAAGGGCCTTCGCTCGAAACGTCGAAATTCTCCTTATATTTTTGCATCCCTATCAAGGAAAGCTTATTCTGGATGAGAGTTGCTTCGCTG